GGAACGCGACCATTAACATGTTTTATGCCACTCCCTTTCTCAAACTGTATTTTTGTTAAAGCACCAAAAGTAATTAGTTTAGCATGATGGTGGACGAGATTCATAGAGAACAGAGAGAGTGTTTCTCTCTTTGTCTTTCCCCGTGGCAGTGAGGAGGGAATGGTACTCTCTTCGAGAAAGAAGCTATTGATTCTTTTGCCCCAAAGCGTCCCACTGAGCTGGGTTCTGCACTGTTTGCGGAACTTTCCAGAATGAATGAAAAGCAGTGTGTCTTTGCGCTTAAGGCAGATTCCCAATTATCTGTGTTGATGAAGCGGAGAACTCCCTTAGCCTCGTTAAGGGATGTTTTCTAAAGTTAAAGTCAACTTTTACTTACCAGGGGCTGGGGTGGGGGTGGGGTGCAGAGAGAATGGGAGTTGGTGTTTAATAAGTATAGCGTTTCTTTCTTCCCGTTTGGAAAAATAAACTTCTGGAGATGGACGATGGTGCTGGTTGCACAACAATGCGAATGTGCTCACCGCCTCTGAACTGCACATTTAAAAATGGTTAAAACGGTAACTTTTATGTTGTGCGTATTTTACCGCAATGAAGAGAAACCCAGCGATGTATTCTTTAAACTCGAAAGAGTAACAATATTTCGAAGAGGAAAGGTCAGTTACACCGCAAGTTCAGAGTAAGACCCATTTTTTTTTTATTTTAAAAATTATGGATAATAAATAAGAGCCTGGAAATAATCAAAACAATAACCAATTATTTCTGAGTGGGAGTGATTTCTACTGTCTTCTTTGGGCTTTTTTGTGTTTTTCCAATTATATAGTTGACAATAAATATTTGCGTATCTTTTGTAGTCAGATAAAACAGACACGGCATTGAGAAAGTACTGAGCCACTCAACTATATACTTTAAAGAGGTTACGATGGTAAATTTTGTGTTATGTGTATTTTGCCACGATAAAAAAAAATATATATATATGTTTAGAAGAGAAAAGACAACGTGTATGAAAGACATTAATAACTTGGGTTTTTTGGAAGTTGATATTCCGTCATCCCCAGGCTTGGGAAGGGACACTGAGTGGCCGAAAGAGTCCAGGCAGGCCTGGGTTTAAAGGCTTCTAGGTGTGATCCAAGATTTTGGCTCCTTCAGATCAGATGGGAAGCATTCTGCAACAGGAGGCTTTTTTATTTTTTTAAGGCGTTTACTCAGGATTTATTATGATTCGAATCGAGGCCAGGTTAACACTAACCCTCATATTTTCTACAGAGTAAAGATTGCTGAGTGCGATAGCATAAACATGATTGCAGGAGAAACAATCACAAATCTTCAGAGGATAAACTGTTTTCAAGGACACAGAGACACCGCGCCACTTTGACACTCATGACAAATAAAGACGCCTTGTATTTGTGCAGTGTTTTTAACCTTCTCAAGTGTAGTCACGGTTTTTCTTTATTGCACTTTCAGCGTTGTGGGCAAGTGGCTCTCCTTTTAAGACGGAGAGGCCGGAGCCCATCTGAATGCCACTTGGAATCACCCAGATGACAGGGGAGGTTGGTGCCGAAGCAGGGCTGTCCCTTGCGTGACGTCCCGAAGGGCATTAAGAGGAGGTGGGCTCAAGGCGTGAGGAGGGCCTGACTTCCCTGCGGTCTCGGAAAGGAAGGAGGCGCAAGTGGGAGGATGACGTGGAGGGCTGAAGAGACTTTGTTAAACGGATGTTTCTGAGGAAGCCAGCGCAAAGCATGACTTATCCGCCGAAGGCGGAGAACCCGGGTATCTGAACAGCGACCCCTGCCGGTCAGGCTCCTCCAGGACGGAGGGGCCTCCCCCGGCAGTGCCTCCCTGCCCCTGGTGGGCAGCGGAAGGGCTCCTGGGCAGAGCGCAGGTGCTGACGGTTTCATCAGGGCAGTTGTGCTGAGCACGGGAAGAACCAAGAGGCTGGGCGTCCCGACGTTGTGAGCCAACGTGGGGGTGTGTGTTTGAGGTGTGGAGCGATTCCTCTTGGAGACAGGAAGGCGGCCCAGCTGGGCTCTGCTGAATCCCTGATCGTGGTTCCCGACGGTGCATTTCAAAGGTGGCTTTGTCCGAGTTGTGCTGTGTGGCCACTCTATGCTGGCACCAAGGACAGAGGCAGACGAAACATCCTCACTGCCCACGGGGGGACTCGCCGGGAACAACAGACTTGCAGGACAAGGTCTTGGAGTAAGAGGTGACGGAGTTAAGTGTGCAGTGTGGGGCACTCGACTGAGGAGTTGGGGTGTCGGCGAGGGGATCTGAGACCACACTGTCAAGGCTGCAAATTGACATCGCAAAAGCGAGATCTCTCTGAGCCTTACGCATTTCTTCTGTGAAATGGGACGGTGATAGGTTTGAAGGAGGGTAATGCGATGAGCCTTTGGCTCGCGTGTCTCCCATGCTGCAGGCTGGCCCAGGCTTGTGCACGTGGCGGTGGCCTCAGGGTGTCCAGGACGCACGATAGAGTAAAGCCAATGCCCCAGCTCCTTAAAGCAAGTCCCACAGCTAGATGGAGGGTGGAGAAATTGATGAGAAGGGGAGAATTTGGCCGGTCGTGCCATCTACTACTGTTGTTTTGAGGATAAAATGAGATCACGTAAGTAGAGCACACGGGAGCACGGCCAACGCTCAGTCAGTGTATGAATGATGAAGGCATTTCTCTCTGTGTTTTAATAATACAAAGGTAGATGTTACAGTCGGTATTAAAAATAGTAATTTCTAGTTTTCGTGGAGCGCCTTGTCTTCGTTTTCTCCCCTGCGTGGTGAGGGGAATCCCTCCCAGACCGTCTAGGGAGGGTTCGATGACGGGATGGTGGTGATTTGCACAGAGCCCAGTGCGGGAGACACCGGAGCTATTATTGGGAAGGGCCGTGTCTCCATCTGCTCCCCTCACATGAAAAGGCAACCTGGAACTGATCGCTTTTCCACTGGCGTTTTATTTTGACCCACATCCCACTTTTCGAAAAACCTGAGATTCCTGCCGTTTGCAGATTCTCCTCCAGGCTGTCTTTTCTTTCGGCTTCCAGCGGCCCATCTCCTCCCCTCCCCTCCCTTAAGACACCTCCTCCCTCTGTGTTCCACCTCCCTCCCCCTGCCGCTGCATGCCGTGCCAGGGGCACTCCTCCGGGCTAGAGCCACAGCTTCAGGGGATTCCTGGGTGACTCTGGGGCCACAAGGCCCTTCCAGGTAAGGATGACAAAGGTGGGAAGTACTGGGCGCTTGTCATGCTTCTAAAAATCTAAATATCTTCCAGGTACTCTGAGTGGCTCTTACTCCCTATCTGTAAAAAAAAAAAGGAGTCCCCTCCACAGTGACCTTCCCCGTGTTTGGTGGGTGGGAGGAGGACGGGGTGGAGGATGGTATGGGAGAGGGGGTGGAGGACAGGGCAGGGGTGGGGCTCTAAGCAGCTTCTGAAGATCCTCTGTGCTGTTAGACAGCCTGGGAAAGTGCTTAATACTTTGAGCCTCAGAAACTCGAACCAGCAGCCAGTTCATTTTTAACTACCCACCCTGGAAGAGGGGAGTAGAGGCTCAGAGTCTCCTGGGTGGTCGAAAATATGAATAATTTGAGCACACCCCAGACCTTGTCAAACCAGATGGGGCCCCTGCAGTTTAAATGTCAAACAGCTTTCCTCCTCTGGGGCGGGGATACTGAGAAAAGGAAGTGGGAGTATCAGAAGAACGTCCTCTGAGCTGCTCACAGCAGTCCCCTGCAGCTGACAACAGTTCTTCCTAGACTGACTCTGGAGCGATCCTGGGGCTGGGTGCTTCTTAGTTTTCTTGTTAGTTCTTGCAACATCCACTATGGCTGGCGGTAGCAAACCCAATTTACAGATGCAGATAATGAGGCTCTGAGAGTTTGAGAAAAGTTGCTTTGAGTTCAAAGTTCAAGGATAGAACATACCTGATTGGTGCAAGTGAAGAAGGGATTGGGGGCTGACTCCAGCTCCTTGGCTCCAGTGCCTCCCGACATGGGGATGGAAGGAGCACCACGCTGGGGGCTTCTAAGCAAACTGAGGATCTTTGGAGTTGGCCACGAAGGCAAGTTTCCCTTGAACTCTCAGAGCCTCAGTTTTCCCACCGGTAGAATAGGGTCGTAGTGAGGATCCAGAGGTGATGCGTGGAAAGCATCTCGTCCACGGCCTGCACATGAAGACCAGAGGCTCTGTCTCACCTCCTGGATTCAGAAACACCACAGGGCAGAGGAGCACCTGGGAGGGCCCCTCCAGACAGCCTTGCTGTCCTGGCTGGGCGTTTCCGAGGACAGCCCTGTGCCCTACAGTGGGAGTGGGGCCCAGACCCCAGCCCTAGGCCAATGCTGTGGCTTCTGTGGTTATTTTAATAACCTTGTTATTCCAGGCAAGACCTAGGCTGAGCTTCTCTTGTAAATATTGATAGAGGCCCCAGACAGAGAGGAACAATAAAACAAGGGACGTTTTATTTATAATAGAAAAAGAAACCAACAGAAAAAAAAAATCTACAGGCCCAACAGAAGGAGGGAATGTTGAATAAACCACGGCACAGCCACTTGCTGGAATATCGTACAACTATTGAAATGATGTTTACCGAGGGTTTGGAATAACACAGGAGAATGCTTATTCTCCAAAGCTAAGTGGAAAAAAGGAAGCAACTGAATTGAACATTCAGCATAATCACACCTAGGCAAAAATCAAGGCCAACCAAAATCACACACAGAGGAAACAGATTGGTGGGACTCACACCACAGCGGGGGTCAATGGGGGAGAGTTTTATACTTTTCTCTGTTTTCCAAATTTTTTTTTTTTTTCTATAGTGGCATGATTGGCCTAACATAAAAAGCAAACCAAATCTAAGGCATTTTTTTTTTCCCCTGAAGAAGAAAGAACTCCTATTGAAAAAGCAAGACAGATGGCCCAGGGAGAAGCCAAGAGTTTTTCTTTTTTCTATAGTGGCATGATTGGCTTAACATAAAAAGCAAACCAAACTTAAGGTATTTTTTTTTTTTTCCCCGAAGAAGAAAGAATTCCTATTGGAAAAGCAAGACAGATGGCCCAGGGAGAAGCCAAGAGACACAGAGACTACTCTGAGGCCGAGGGCGACAGGTCAACAGACCAGCCTATTAAACAAGGCCAAGTGGAAATCCTAGACCCTGAACTTATGGCAATAATGTGGGCCGGCTGACACTTAGTCACACACCCAGCGTGGTGTCTGTGATGTCCTGGTAATTATTTTGACTCTCATCCCTAACTGTGTGAACTCTGCTTCTCTCTTGGGAATGTAGCTTATCTCTGTGCAATGAGCCTCTTTTATAAATGTTAGTGGAACAGAATTCTCTCCTGTATATAAAAGCAGAACAGCTGGGTCCTAACCCTCCTCGCACACTTAGATGGACTTCCTAGGAGGCAGACCTGCTCCCCACACCCCCATGTGACATAGCCCATCGGGAGGCACGGCCAGGCTTCTGGAGCCCTGGTCTATGTGTCTCTCAGATTTCCATTCAGATCTCTGCTCAATGTCCCCTAATCAGGGAGGTTCGATCACATTATTCCACTTCTCTGCCTTATCTATCTTTATGGCACTTATGTAACATGGGTTCTATTTATTTATGTATTTGTTTTTTCAAAATTGCCTATTTTCCTTCATTAGAATATGCTCTCTGCAGGTGCCTGGCCTCGACATTCTGTAAATGAACCCTGACCATCACGGGCCCAGCTGGTCTTTGCAGGCCCCCTGGACTACCTCGCTCTACCACGATGCCCCTGGCCACTCTCATTCCTAAACCCAGCTCCAGAGATGAGAAACACACCAGCTCTACTCTATCGGTAGTCGGCGCCTGGGGCCCTGTGCCGACCTCGTGCTGAGGCTGTTATAAGAGCTCAACAGGAAAGGATGTGACAATCGGCTAGCGATGTCTGCCGTGGGGCCACGGGGAGGCGGACACGATGTGCCGCTACTTGCCACGTCCGTCCAGACCCAAACCTCAGCTCTCCCTCACTTCATGAAGACCACACCCGACATCGCTGGTTCTGGAACGAGCTTTGCAGCCTTGTCCCTGGGATTGTTCCCCTAGTCCTTACCATGTGGGCTTCTGAAAGGTCTTCCAGAGCCATCCCTAGTTCACTCCTGGCTTGGAGCCCTTCCCACACTTGACCCAGCCTCACTGTGGCCTTGCCCTCTGCCTGGCCCCTCACTGGAGGCCTGGCCCTGGGGCTAGATCTGGTTCCACCTGCCCTGGGTCCCACACAGGGTTCTCCTCCCAAGCAAACCCCAGCCCGAAACCACAATGCTGATGCCACCAGTCGTGTCACTGAGCCCTTCCTCCCATGGGTCCCTTCCTGCCTGAGTGTTGACGCTAACCTTGGGCATGGCCTTGGTGGGGGAGGGAGAGTCGCTCTTCCCCAGTGCTGGCCATGGTGCCAGCTGACTTTCCTCTCCCAGCCTCCAATTTAGAAATAAATTAAGCAGCCTCACTTCCCAGGCCCTAGGTCTTCTGAGCTCCAATAAAGGTCTTCATCTTTGTGCCAACCTCCTTCTCGTTCTTTGTTCTAATCTTGCATCTTCCGAAAGAAGCCCCAGCTCAGCCCCAGCTGCTGCAGTGAACACAGCTCCTGCCTGGGACACTTGGGATCTTGGGAAGAGCTTTCTCCAGATACTCTCATTTATACCCTAGGCAGATAAGGACATGAGTCATTCTCCTCATTTTCAAGAGAGGGATGCCGAAGTCCTAAGCAACCTTATCTTCCACCTGTCCCGCTCCACCTGGTGCATGTTCTCCCCTCCATCTCTATTTCTCTTCTCCATGCTGCTCGTCACATTGGAGTCCCAGCTCCCCTGGCTTCTGCCTGGGGCCAAGAGCATGGCTGATCTTGTATCCGCATGTGTGTCTCCCTTAGAGATGGAACAGGGCTGTGGTTATCGATTGGACCAGTCTCTCTCCCTTCCCTCTGGGAGAACTGGTAGCTTCCTGAGTTTGGAAGGTCTCCTCCCATTCAGAAGTTACCAAATCTGATGTGAAAAGAGATCCCAGTCTCCTGAGGTGCCGCTAGAACCTTCTAGTTCCTCAGCTCCATCATGGGCCCGCCCCTCGCTGGTCCTCTCCTGTCTGATGAGGCCGACTAGGTGACAACATGGAGGAGGAAGGGCAAATTATGCCATCACCTCTCAACAGTCACTGGAAGGGCTGACTGGCAGTGGCTGCTCCTAGCTCCTGCTTGGAGAGCTATACTTTGAAGGGTTCTCAGATCTGGGGAGAAAGTCAGTGGTCCCTTAACAATGGGCCCAAGCAGAGGCCCAGGGGGAGGGTGGCCCGTGGACTACACCTTCTCCTGCCTCTCCCAAGGCCTCAGATATAGAATCAATTGTATTCTTAGTAGACCCCTACAAGAAGATGTACCTTGTTCAACGGTCACTAGCCATGGAGGTTACTCACACTAGAATCCCAGGGAATGAGAAAAAGCCAAGTGGGCTTTGGTTAATTTACTCCGCAGGCCAAAGTCCTCCGACTTTAGCTGTTGTACTTCACCAACCATCTCTCCCCCTGCCCGGGCCCCTGGGGCTCCCCCGGCTCTTTCCAGTCTTGCCAGAACCATCTCCCTTCATTTTTCCCACCTGTGTGTTCCAGGTGCTTCTGGGAACCTTGGCGGTTGAGGCCCAGGAGTCAATGGTTCGGAAGGGACCCTGGTGGCTTATAGAGAGGTGGCCCATTTTAGCAGAGTCAATTTGAAGGATCACTGGGGGTCAACTGGCACCTGAATCACAGTTGTAATAAGGTCGTGCCCCTGAACTTTGCTGGGGTCCTGGCAGCCCCCCCGCACCCCCAAATTCAGTTTTGAAGCAAGGTGGTGGCCATCCCTGCAGACATGGCTACTGTCGGCCTCCAAACACCAGTTCCTAGTTCTCTATTCACACCGGGCCTCTGCAGCCCACTGACCTCTCAGAGCCGCAGCCAGTGCAGAAGGGAGGACTAGAATTAACCTCTTCCTGGCCAAAGTCTTGGCCACCAGAAATGGCCCATGGAGCAGTGGTCAGGGGCTGCTCTTCGCCTCCAGTTCTGCAGGAGGAACCGAGCAGAGGGGCTGCTAGACCCTGGTCTGAGACACATCGGGGCCCGGCAAGGTCAGGACAGCCGGCAGGAGGGTGCCCTGCGGGGAGGGGAAGCTCTGCAGCTCCTCGGGCACAAACCTGGGCGAGATGTGGTCGGCCAAGAAGCGAAGCATGTGCCTGCGCCCCACGCAGTAGATGAGGCTGTCCACCACGGCGCACTGGAAGGCGTCCGGGTATGGCGTCCGGTACGTGGCGCACTCGTACCAGAGGCGGGCGCTGGCGCTGCAGCGGTGCACGCCGATGCCCAGGCTGCGGTTGAGGTCAAAGCGGTAAAGGAAGCCATTGACCGCCACCATCTCGGCTGTGCGGTCCTTGCCGCCCGCCGTGGGGCCAACCTGCCAGCGCTGCTCCTGGGCCGAGAAACGGAGCAGCAGGTAGTGCAGCGTGCCGCCTGTGACGAAGATGTCACCGGCACACACTGTGGCCGTGTGTGCCAGGGCGAAGGTGTCATTGGGGAGCGGCGGGGCAAAGGTCCAGCGGTCCAGGCGAGGGTCATAGTGCTCGACCGTGTTCAGACACTCGCCCCCGATGGCATACAGGTGCCCATCCAGGGCCACCAGCCGGCAGTGCGGCCGGGCTTGGTTCAGTGGGCACACCTCACTCCAGATCCCCGTCAGCGGGTTGTAGCAGAAGACTCGATTGGAAGGCCGGCACCCAGGCCCCTGGCAACCGGATACCACGAAGAGATAATTGAAGAGGCTGCAGATGGCACAGCCTCGGGACACGGCCTCAGGTGGCAGGTGGGCCAGCAGGTGCCAGGCATCCTGCTCATCGTCATAGCTACAAAGGCGGCCAGAGTCTTCCTGGGGGCACATATCAGCCACCACCAGGTGCTTCCGGCCCCGGAGCCGTCTCTGGAGGATCAGCTCCCGCTCTGCCCCACTCAGGCACCCATAGATGTCCGGGCTGCGCAGGACCTGGAGGTAGTTGTCACTCATCACCTTGTAGGCAGCTTCCTTCAGGGCCTCCAGGTTCTGCCTTTTGGCCAAGGTCAGTACCTCACAGCAATTACCCAGATCCAGGTGGACATCTGGGGCTGAACCTGGGGTGAGAGGGAGGTGGAAGAAATTGGTCCCAGCCACGAGCAGTAGGTTGGGCTCTCCGCCGCTTCCAGCCGAGCTGGACTCTAGAGATCCCCCAGCTACGGAGCAGCCAGATGGGGCACTCTGGTCTAGGCGGGGTGGAGCAAGGGCCCCAAAGTCGTGCAGCTGCAGCTGCAGCTCTGGGTTCTCCATGATCTGAAGGAGGCTCTCCTTCCTGCCGAAGCCTTGTGTGGGGGGCAACAGCACAGGCTGGGAGGAGGTGGCCGTATGGGCAACACCTTCTCGGTCATCGGCATGGCCTCCGAAGGCTGCCCCTGTTCCCAGGGGACCTGGCATAGGAAGTGGAGCCTCAGCCAGGGCTGCAGTCCCGGGGGCCAGCCTGCCCCTGGACGTGGCCCAGGAGGTGGATTCGACATAGTATTCATACACCTTGCCCTGCAGCCCAGGCCTGGTCTCCTCCGCCTTCTCTTGTATGAAACTCCCCTCCACTCGAACCTGGGCCACCGACGAGAAGGTGTAAGAGGCGCTGGTGGCCCCCTCCTGCTGATGCAGAGCCAAGCCCATGTCTGAGGCAGCCCGCAGGGCCCCAGCTTCTTCCCCGCGGACCCCCATCACTCGGGGGAAGACCCAGCTCTTGTCCATGTCACTCTTGCCTTCCCTGTGGGCCGTCCAGGGCTGCTGGGGCGACTCCTGCTCCCCGGTCCCCGGCCACTCGGAGGGTCTGCCATCCCGCCGTGGAGCAGGCTTGCTGCCCACGCTGCCGCCGTCCACCACGGCGAGGCCAGTGGGGGAGCTTCCAGGTTCACTGCCCAGACGGGAGCGGCGGGGCAGCCCGGCCTTACCGCCAACAGTTGTGCTGGCTTCCTGGCCACTGCGGTGAGGAGGCGCCGGGCCAGAGTCCGGGCACTGCCCACCCCAGTCCTCACCAGCACCTTTCCTCTCGGGCTTCTGAGTCTCTCCAGCTTCTGAGTCCCGCGAAGGGGCTCCCGTTGCCAGGACTGGGGAGCCCCCTGGATTCTCCCAGCTGCAGCCCTTGCTTCCCTTCCTTCGTCTCAGCTCTCGGAGGGGCGTCCTGGGAGCCGCCCCCTGGAGGTCGGGCTGCCTGGAGCCCTCTGCCTCCTCCTCAGCCTTGGCCTTGGCATTCCCGCCCCACAGCGGGGCCCGGGCAAGTCTCGACCTGTAGAGCCTGTAGGCTGCAGTCACCAGGAGCAGAGCGGCAGCAGACAGCACCACCTTGCCTGTCAGCTGCATGTCCAAATGCCAGTCCTGGGCCTCGGCTCCTCCTCCTCCAGGGAACATGTTTCCCAAGGCGACCTGGGGCTGAGGAATGCCAAAAATCCGATTAATGATTGCCCAATCGGGCCGGTTCCTGGTGCCTGCTGAGCTGAGCTGAGCCGGAGAGAGAGTTCTCGGCTGGCTCTGGGCTGGCTCTGGGCTGGCTGTGGCCAGCCAGCTGAGGAGTTGGAGCAAAGGTGACTTTGAGCTGGCAGAGGGTGGCCACTGGAGCCCCGGCTGGCAGATCTCAGCACTGGCCTCTTTGGATCCTTGATGCTTTCCCTGGGGGTGGGAGGGGCGGACTCTGCCCCGGGGCTGAACTTGTGATCAGCCACCTGAACCGGCAGCAGCTGGAAATGTTAGGGGTGTCCAGCAGGCGGAGTGTCCAGTGGGCACATGAAGGTGGAGGAAGTTCTTGACTGCACAGTCGCCCGATGCCAGGAAACACATGGGCTTGGTTATTATTTGTGTATGTGCTTTATTTTCTCCTTTGCAAATCTCCTGGGCTAGGAGGGTTGGGTGTGGTGAGTATGGGACAGGTGGAGCCACAGCAGGTGTGGCATGAGAACTGCCTGGGTCTGTTTTCTTTCTGTTGAGATCTGCTGGTCCCCACAGGGAGAGTGGGGTCTGCAGTTAGCATCAGGGGAGGCTGAGCCAGGGATGGCTGCCGAGCCACCTGACCTGGCTCTCGAATGCCTCTGTCCTCCTGACGAAGAGAATTGTCCATCCCGAGAGCACTTCCGGAAAACAGATGGCATTAGTACCCAGATTGGGGGTAGAAGTGGGGCACGTCCTTGCCCTCCTCACCCTCTGAACCAGACAATCTCATTCGGTGAGAGGGAGACTCACCACCACCCCCGACCCCATCTCACCAATGCTGTGAGCTCCAGATCCAGACTACCTGGATCTGCATCTTAACTTGACCTTGGGCAAGCGAATTCACCTCTCTGTGCCTCAGTTTCTTCCTCTGAAAAAATAGGGGCAACAGCATATGCAACTCATGAGGTTGTGGTGAAAACAGAATGGGTTAACGTGTGTCAAGCCCACAGAGCCGAGCTCCTCCGCCTTGGACGAGCTCGGTAAATATCAGCCTTTCTTCTTCCTGTCCTCTCCTCTTCCTCTTTCTTACCACTGGCATCATCACCACTCATATTAATCATCATCAGACAAACCTTCTGAGGCATAGGTCTAATTTTGCCCCTCTCCAGACAGAGGTCCTCTCAGGATCCCCAAAGGTCAGAGTAGGGGTCTCAGGCCCATGCTGCCTACCAGGGCTGGACAGGTAAAAGGAGGACCAACCTGGTGATGGTGCCAGGTGGGCGGGCCCAGCACTGCCAGATCCCACTGTTGTTTCAGAGACACTTAGTCTAGGCAGTGATACGATCATTCGATTTCTAAATGATGGCATCTAATCAAAAAAATGAAACTAAAACTCAGTCCATGGGTCAGAGGAAACACAATGCCTGGGAGGGATTGGACTTTGAAGCCTTGACTTCAGGAGACAATCCTGGCTCATGCCTGAGTTCACAGGCTTCCACGCTCCAGCCTCAGTTCGCCCTTCCAAATTCATCTCCTGCTTCCTGCCTCGTGTGCCCAGCTCCGGGCTGGGGCTCGGGCCAGTTTCCCCTGTCTCTGCTTATCCACATCCCTCCAGTGCTTCAGAGTCGGCCTGTGCCTTCTTCCCCGGTGCCTCCAACCTTTTTCTCTTTGGGTCTCTTGTTCTTCTGCAAGCCTCTTTCAGCTTCTGTCACATGGGCCATGGGTCAAAGTGCATTCTGTTCTCCTGCTGGATTCTAAATCCCTGAGGACTCAGTTTTAGGCCCTGAGTCCTGTATAGGGCCAGGCACTATGGGGACAAACAGCCAACACGCATTGTGCCTTTCCATGGGTAGAGTCGGGGTAGATGCTATGAATGAATCTCAGCTAGTGCTTGTTGTCTGTTTGATACAATTGTCATCCGCATTTTATGGCAGCTCCAAGGTTATGTCAGTTTGCCTGTAAAAGGAAATTTCTACCTCTGTTTCCCGACCTCAGAGTCTTACAGAGCTGAATTCACCCAACAGGTAGGACTGCTCCGGGAACCAGGCCTCCTCTGGGGCCCTTTTTTTTTCATCATGGTCAAGATAGTGATTCTGAATTTCACAGGCACAGAGAAGCATTGGGGATGCTTGTGAGAAATGCAGATTTCCGAGTTCCACCCTCCCCGACTTTCTCACCCAGAAGGTTTGAGATGGCTCCCAGGAAATCCCCATTTTTAAGTCACCTCAGAAGATTTCAGAGGGTCTAGAAATAAAAACTCCTTTAGTGTTTCTACTTGTCCGCTGAGGATTCCTCTTCACCCTGGGGCGGAGGTGAGTAGTGGCTCCGTAGATCACCAAGGTAAGTAACAGGGAAGATGGGGTGAAGTCCTGGACACTTTGCCTAAGTAAAGCCATTTCATGCCCCAGTGATCGGGAGAGGTGGTATTGTTCATCACCCTCATTTCACAGGCGAGGAAACCGAGGCCAATGTCACATAGGTTGTGGGTAACAGGGTCTCGATTTATAACGAGGTCTCTCTAGCTGCATGGCCCATTTCTCTTCCTCTGGGAAGGAGAGGATGAGGTATAAAAGGTAATAAAAAGGATTCGTCCAGTAATGGAACCAAGGCTTTGGGGCTGATGTGGGTCCCCTAGTGGCCAAGCTATCATTCCGACAGTAGAGTTATCTTGGGAACTCCTGTACCCTTGGAGAGGGGGAGACTTGTGGCATACCTCTTTGGTGCATTGTGACCTGGCATTGTCCTCTCAGATGCCAGCAGGTGGGCAGGGGCTCAGCCCCTTTGGTGTATGGTTTTCCATCCAGTAAAGGCTTCACTGGAGCATTCTCCCTACAGCTCTGGCTTAAACCTTTGAGTCAGGAAATCACTCTT